AAAAAAATGCACCCCAAAAAATTTTGAAAATTTCATAATAAAATATTTAAAATTTCCAGCTTCAGCCGCAACAATTAATAAAGATTTACTTGGAAGTAATCCATCTGCAATATTATCGAATGTAAGATATCGAATGTCAGATGCTGAAAGATTATCTACAAGTTTATCGTCAGTGTCAACAACTGCGATTGATGAGAGTCTATGAATGGCCTGTTAAATAAAAATGGTTAAATGATTTAATTACCTTTATATTATTAAATTATCAAATTATATTCCATTAATTTAAATAATTTGACATTACCATAATTTTGAATCCTGCGAAAGCTGACATGTCTTGAGTGATCGAGTGCGCGAACGTCATGTTTGGCGAAGTTTCGGGTAATCTATTCAATCACAGATAAAAGAACGTACTGCAACAAATAATATCAATCATAAATAAGCAATACATTTTTGTAATGATATATGTACCTGTGTGAAGGTTGATTGGGATCATCTTTTTTAGTAAAAGAAATCCAATTTCTTTGCATTGCTTTATTAGCCGGTAAATCAAAAGCTTTATTTGTTTTGAGCATTTCATTATTCATCAAAAAATTAATTGCATCCCATTGCGTAAGTATCGACGCTTTTTGAATATCTCCTTCCATTGTTTCTTTTTCTTTAGCAATAGAAACTAAAATTGAATAATCATTTTCCTTTGTTCCCATTGCTTGAAGACCAACAATAAGAGGTGTGCTTTTATGATACATTTTGAAAGAATCTAAAGCTTTGGGTTCAATGGAATTAATAACTTCTATGACCTGGAAATCGTAAACATCTTTTAAATCATTTTCAATCTTTTCTTTTAACTCTCTGGTTTGAGATTCTTTATCGATAGATTCATTAGTTGATACAGGAAGAGAATAAGCTTTACGCAACATTAAAAATCTTAAAATATGAACAACATTAACAATGGCAATAAATTTTCCCTTGCTTGGATCATAAATTGGAAGGGAAATAATGTTATGAATTCGTAAAAGATTAAGGATTAAAGCAACTTTATCAGTAGTTCTTGCATAAACAAGAGGCTCAATAGGCTTGCGAGCTTCAGAAATAAGTACATCAATTTTTAATTTTTGTAATTGATCATTTGGATCTGAAGCAATACGAAGAGAAGAATCCACGATCGGTTGTTGAACAGCCATTTTTTGCAAAAGAGATGAATTATCTTTCAAGAAAATAATTTTCTTATAAATTCAGTGTAATTTATTGCAATTATTGCGTAAAAATTACATATATCATTTGATCTGGCGTAAAGTAAAAATGACATAAAATTTAATTTTTCACCCGGATTAAAGTTACCCAAAATATTACTAATTTTATTCACGTAACGGTAAATGATATTTAGTTTATCGGGTGACTTTAACCCAACATAATTCTTGTGGGGGCTGATGATGAAATCGGATTTGGGTAAAAGAAAAAGATACCAATAAACCTATTGGAGTTGTTTCGATGAGTGATATGTTAGACATGTTGGTTGGACATATGAAGCCACAAGAATTAGGTGATATGGAATGACTCGATAATTTTGAGAAACATTTGCTTTTTTATATTGGTTTTTTTGCAATGGTTCATATTTTGGATATGGATAAATCCTAGATATGAATGTAACATGAATGTGATATGAATGAAAAATGTAAATAAGAAATATTAGCAATTACTGTATAAATTTTTTTTCTAATAGATCTGGTGCAAATGTGTAGATTGTTTACGAATACGTAATCACTAAGGTGGAAGGATGATTTTCACAAAGAGTAGCATTGCTGTATTTGAGTGCAAAAACATTTATTCTTATTTTCCTATTTGTCTTAGTGATAGCCTAAATAATATATACTGTAATTGTTAAACCGTGGCATTGCTTAAGGGTAGGGTGTCCGTAGATCATTTTTAATAGTAATCATGTGGTATTCATATGAAATCATGTGATTGACCA